AACACACAAAATCCTCTGTTACTCTGATAATTATTTCAAAGTTGACAAGAAACAATTCTGAAGGCTTCAAAGCTCCTACAGAATAATTCACATTATTACCAGTCTACAGAACACAGCATACAGTATCCTTCGATTATAAAGCTGCATCTAGAAGACTAAAAACTTTTCAGCAAACAATTTACAAAGCATAAAATAAAATCTCTGTCTTGAACTAGAAGACATTCCATTGTGTTTCTTCCATGTGGAAAATAAAATCGCCATACATTTGGAAAACTACGCAACAATTAAAAAAAAACTTAACTAGATTTGCTCAAACTAACCTTTATTTTTCCATCAGTATGTGCTGAAGCTACAGATGTTGAAACACGAACCAATCTTGTGGCTGATAAATGGATTTTGAAATGCCTATGGAAATGTGAATACAGGCAGTCCATGAATAAGTCAACTTCCTCCTGAGTAACTTCCCCAGGTGTTTTATGGACACTGTCCCACAAAGCTTTGGCATCCTCTGGATGTATGGCATAAGAAATGTCCAGACTTTGAGGGCTACAGGGTACAGACCAAAGAAATTCAGTGGTAGCCATATAACGGTCCATTTTGCATGCAGTCCACATAGCAGCCAACCAGGAAAGATTAAACGCATTGATTGCTAAGGGACGGAAATAACAGTCAAAAGTTTTCTGAAACCAGGTTCCAATTATGGCTGTATTAGTCTCTGCTCCATTTGCAAGGAATAAAGGTAGGCAGGTGAAATCTTCTGAAACAGTCTCCAGAAGACTATCTCCAAATATACAGCAGAACCAACCAGTCCACAACACTTTACCTTCTCTGTGTTCAGAAGGCAATTGAGATTTTGTTAGGATCTGCAAAGAAGAAGAAAATCAAACAGGTTCATTAAATTCTAAAGTCCATTTACTTCAGGAGGGGAAGGTGTAGCTCAAGTGGTAGAGCGCCTGCTTAGCATACACAAGGTCCTGGGTTCAATCCCTAGCACCTCCTCTGAAAATAAGTAAGTAAACCTAACTACCTCCTCACACACAATAAAATAAGGTAAGTTTCTTTAAAAGTACCTTTACTTCTAAATTATATCTTCTCAACATTAATTAGTATATTTAAAAATAAGAAGATACATTGTATTACCTGCCAAAAACCACAGAGGGCACAGTCTTCCTGATCACTATTAGGGTTTACCAAGTTCACTGACCTTTCTCCTCATATTCTTAACAGGACATGGTATATGGCAAGATGTTGATGCAATCAAAATGCAAAATAAAGGATGCCAATGTGGTATAACCAGGTATAGTATCCAGAAAAAAAGAATCTCAAAATCTCAACTAAAGTTCTAAAGAAGGGGCTGTAAAAGGTCACCAAATCCAATGTGCTTGAATTATTCCACTGAGGAAGACATCACTATTTCCTAAGGCAGCTCTTTCTATCCACTTAAAATGCTCTTACACATGTTAGGCCCTGTGGATTCCAACTACTGGTCCTGCTTTCTTCCTTACGAGCACATAGAACAAATCATACCTAATTTTTCTTCTACAGAGAAAAACCTTTAAATACTTGATCCCTATCATACATACTGCCCATTTCATTATCTCCAGTTTCTTCAACCATTTCTCCTATGACATACGTTCAAGTTCTCACACTATCTGGACACTCTTTTCTGAAATTCTTCTGTAGGGGAGACATATTCATAAGAAAACATAATTACTTCAAAAAGGTGTGATTACAGGACTGACACCATCTTTAACCCAGATTATACTCTTATTAATATAATTTTAGACTGCAATGGTTTTCTGGGTTTTAGTTGACAGTGTTACATAAATTAGCCCTACATACTCATTTTTGCTGTTAACTGGAGAATTCCCCCCAACCTATACTGAGGCAGTAAACTTATTCCTATTAAAATTTTAATCTCAATTTCGCCCATTGTGCCAATCCATTCAGATCTTTTAGAATCGTGATTATATTTTCCAGCAGATTGACTAACTCCTCAAACTTTAAATTTGTAAATTACATAACAAACATACCTTCAGATATTCACAGAAGTTTTAAAGTTTGACCAGGAGGTGAAGATCACAGCCCTACATCATATCCCTTTAGGATGATCATTTAAACAATTACTTTTACCATATAGCTTCTTCTTGTTCAAGAAGTTATAAGCCTTCCAAATACCTTAAAGCCCAGATGTCTACCCCTTTTTAAAATAACTTACGAGTCTTGTAACTCTGTTAAGAAATGCGATTTAACATGAAAGCTATTAGGACACTATCCTAGGAGTTCAAGAGGTCATTTCTATTCCTCACAAGAACATTTGCTTGCCTGATGACATGCTAACCATGTAACTTCTTTGGGCATCAACTGCTTCACTTGACAGAGGCTGCTAATTACTACCCAGCATGTATTTTCCTTCCACAGCAATACAGTGTTTTTGCTTGAGGTGACAAAGCACTCACTAAAAAAGAAAATTTTTCTAGTCTCCCTTTCAACTGGGATGTAAAGAGAAGTTGATGAGTCTCAGCAAGTCTCATTAAAGACCTACACAGTGGCAGGCACCCTGTTTGCCCTTTCCATCTTCTTTCCATTTCTTGCCTTGAACTTATACATAATATTCAGAGCTCCACGAGCCAACTTAGATTACAATGTGACAGCAAGCATGAAAGCCATGCACCAAGGATGGTAGGGAAGACAGAAGGAGCTTCGATTATCAGTAATTTCATGAAGCATTTACCAGTCTTAAACAGCTTACCTCGACACCTTTTTGTAAGACAAATCTCCATCTTCTTTAATTTACTATTATTTAGACTTTCTGTAATATAAAGCTGAACCTAATTCTAGACACTATCTGGACAGTGGTCTATACTGGGGTCAGCAAATCTTCTCTGTAGCAGGCCAGACAGTAAATAATTTAGGCTCTGCAAGCCATATGGTCTCTGTAGCAACTAGTCAACTCTGCTGTTGTAGCACAAAAGGAGCCATAGATAATATGTAAAAACATGAATAGGGCTCTATTTCAATAAAACCTTATTTATAAAACAAGCAACAGATCAGATCTGGCCTGACCCCTGATCTATACAAATAAACACACAAACAAAATCATGACTTTTCAACTATTTCAGAACTTCATTTGTCGATGACTAAAATGAGTTAACTCAGCAGAAACAGAAGTAGCAGGCATCAATAATAACCTAATGACATGAGTTAAACTATCTAACACACTGATTACTAGTTGAAAAAAAAAAGCCATAATGCAAAGTTGGTCACACCTAATTTCTATAATTTGGTCAAACAAGACATAAAATAGGTTTATAAATAGATTATCAACAAGCTTAAGAATTTTAAAAACAGTAATACCACAATTTCTAAACCAAGACAATGCAGATTCTTTTCTCGTAGGAAGCAAGTATTGCTTGCTTATACAATACCTGGACAAGAAATGCTTCAGGGTCCCTCTGTGTTCCTTTCATTTCTAGGAGAGTAGAGAAAATCACTTTGATGTTGAAGTCATCTCCCACTTCCACAGCAAGTCCTTTTTGCTTTTCAGCAGCAATAAATGCACTCAGAAGTTTAGAATACTCTTTGAAATTAGTATAGGAGAATTTATATAAGGGAGTTAAACTATATAAAGTCCATTGTTTATGCAGAAGGAATGCAACCTTTTGAGGATCAACATCTTCCTAAAAAAAGCAAGACAAAAAGAGTTTAAGAATTAGGAAATATTCATAAGAACTTAATCATAGTATTTTAAGTATTTAATAAAACTGTATTTCTGGGTGCCTGATCTTTGCACCCCAGCCAAACTGGAGTTTGCAGGACTCTTTGAACATCCTTGAACAGGCCTTTCCACCTGTTACACCTTCTCTTCCCTTTGGAATGCTCTTCTCATGGATTTCACATGGCATGTTCCTTTCCTTCATTAGGCCTCTGCCCAAATGCTACTCAAGAGGCCACCCTATCTAAAGTAGCACCAGTGGGGAAGGCACAGCTCAGTGGCAGAGCACACACTTAGCATGCAAGAGGTCCTGGGTTCAATCCACAGTACCTCTATTAAGATAAATGAGTAAATAGATAAACCTAATTATCTCCCCCCAAAACAAAACCAAACAAACAAACAAAAAGCAAAAGAATAAATAAAAATAAAGTAATACCTGCACCCATTCCAACTTTGTCACTCTGCATCTCCTTAAAAATGCTTTTTGTTTTTACAGCATTTATAACCATCTGGCATTACATACTTGTCTGATTTTTATTGTCTGTCTTCCCTACTCGAGCATGAGTTTGATGAGAACAGAGATTTTGCCTATTTTATTCACTACTACATCTCTAGCTAGCACCTAGAGCAATGCCATCTAGAACAGTTGTTCAGTAAATATTTATTGGATGAATATTTGTTTTACTTTTAGAAACTTCAAATTATAGATTTTGAAAATAGTAACTATTCCTGGTCCATCTAATCTGATTGGTTTTTAATTAAGTAATTTCTAAAATTATTTGGCAATAAATTCACTCTATCACTCTAATTCGGTAGATTAAATAAAAAGATACGTGGGAGTATTTTGGCCATGCTTTATTAGAACCACAGGTACCATCAAAAACAAAATACTTCGTTTATATTGGCCCTATGCATTGCTGAGGGTTTTCACATACACCTCCACACAAGCTCCTAGTTTTATCCTGAATTGAATTTTTCTGTAAAATCCACACTTTTTGACATAGTCTCTTGGCCCCAACTATCTTTTGGAACTTTCAGTACAGTTTGTCCATTTGACAAAAATATTTGTACTGATGAGAGTATTCATGGAAAAGTTGTAAACTTTTATCAAAAAGTTATAAACTTTTTACTTATTACTGTCAAAAGATACGGCAAAATCACTTGTATCATAGAGAAAAGGAAACACTGAACTAGACAGTCCAGTCTTTAATTTACACACAATTTCTGTTTTCTGGTTAAGAACCATCACTTTCATTACTAGCACCAGTAATTTTTTTTTAAGAAAGTTTTCACGAAGAAGGAAAATTTTTCTCACATTCCAAAAGATACTAGACCCAGATAACACAGATAAGAAAACAAAGTTACAAAGAAGGTGTGGGTGACTGATAAGCCAGGCTCCCTGCTAAGTGACTCAGAACCACACACTAAACTTGTATTGACTAGGGCTTTATTTCATGTTTCAGTAAAGTTACAAATTGCTAATGTTATATACCTTCAAGGCTGTTTATGAATGATCAAAACAGAGCATGCTGCCACCAGACATATCTGGGACAATTTAAACACTAAAATAGTTTAGTAAGGAATTAGAAAATTTTGAAAAACAGAAATTCATGAGTCCATTACTAACAAATAGATAAATAAATGGAGAAATGAGAACTTACAATAGAATGCCAAAGGCTGGTTGGTAAATAAGGAGCAAATAGAGATGGAAAACCACTATTTTGCAACCATCATGATAAAGACAGGATCAAGCAAAAATTATCAATATATAATGGATGTAAGTGTGAGGGGAAATTTTGACATGGAACAGGATATTTGTATTATCTTAAAGTGTCTTCCCATAGACAGTTTATTAGTTGCAGAGGTGAATAAAACCATAATTACTGAGCAACACCTTGACAGAATGATCAAAACTCACATCATCCATGTGCTACCAGATATTATTCCCCAAGGACACAATAGCACCTATGTAGTATTCGGCCAGGAATACATAACTTCAATCCAAAGAAAACATCAGACAAATACAAAATGAGGAATATTCTATTTAAAATGGAGAGGGGAGGAACAAATGTCAATGTCATAAAAGACAAAGAAACATTGTGGAAATATTCCAGATTGAAGGACCTTAAAATACATAACAGAGGTGACACTGAGAGTGTGAATAATTGTTTGCTTTAGCTGTTTCTAATTTATTTTATTACCTAAGGAGGTAAGAAGATACTAAAAATACTACAAACAGTAACACAAATTGAAACATTTTATTCACAGGTATTCTCAATTATTGGTAACACAAAGGAACACAAAAAACATACCTGTAACTGTGAACACTGGGGAAGTTTCCTTCGAGGTGGAGTCGGGACAAATGAAGTCTGCTTCCTGACTGATTCTAATCGTTTCTGCAGAGGGGTGGCACCTATAAAGTAATCTTTAAGCCTTGAGGTTGCATTTTGTCTAGGAGTTGATTCTGGTGCATTGTAAGAATCCATGGTCTATAAATAAATAAAACCAGAAATTCTAAACACTAAAAAGTTAATTCACGCTCATAGTTTCACTGATTTCTCTCCTTACTATAAAAGAATTCTTTGTCCTTCCTCCCAGTCCCTGCCCCCAGTTTTGACTTTTTAACCAAGTCTTGTATTTCTTATTGACTATTTTTATGATCACCTTACAGATATCTCAAACACAGTATGCTCAAAACTAAATTCAACTCCTTCCCATCCTCCTCCTTCCAAAAACTAGCTGGTCCTGTTTTTAGATTCCTGTCAATTTTCTAAATTAATTTAAATCATTTAAATAGTTTCCCACTTTAAATAAGTGTGTATACGTCCATGAATGACTGAAAAATTGTGCTGAACACTGGAATTTGACACAACATTGTAAAATGATTATAAATCAATAAAAAATGTTAAAAAAATAAAATAAATGGTTTCCCACTTTAATTTTTTAACATGTAGTCATTAAGCCCATTCTTTTTCCTTCAACAGTTTCTGTCATCTGTTCCCAAAGCTACTTTCTTAGCCAGGTTCTTATTATCACAACTAAGGATTTTCCTTATCTGAGAGTAATCAGCTCTTCAGAAATGGCACTTTATTATTAGTCACCTGTGCAAAAACCTTACAGTGATGAGATAAATTCTACGCTCCTGCGGGGTATTTAAGATCTCTAGTAATTCAGCTTGTCCTTATTCTACTTCCCCTAGACATAAACACATTCTTGTCTCCATGTGCTTTATCATTATATTCCCTGTGTGAAGTGTTCTTTTTCCATTTCACCTCCATTACAACCAAGTTTGAATTTGACCCCCTTTTAAACAGTAGGGGTTTGTTAGCCTTCTTCCCCCAGAATCCCTATGTAAAACACTTCTTGGGGGAAGGGTGTTGTAGAATGAGACCCCAGGGATAACTATTTTAAAAAAGCCCAAAGCCCTCTAGATGACTAACAAAGTCCTTCAAGAATGTTCCATAAAATCCTTCAAGAATGTTCCATAAAATCTTTGGAGATTAATAATACACAAGCTCATACAGCTCTCTTTGATCACTTAATCTATACCACTGATTTTGGCCCATATTCATATAATTCTTTGTACTTTTTTTTGGTGTGCACGTTTTTTCTTCCCAAAAAGACTAAACTACTTTGACTGAAGCCATGCTCTTTGTGTTTCTCTTCTATAATTACCCTAATATAATGCTGAGTGCTTCTTAATTAAGCAAGTATTGGTTTAATAGAACAGAAATATTTCACAGAACTCCAAAATTGTAACACATCTTTCATTGAAAGGAATTATGATTTAAGCTATAAAAATTACTCCCAAGTACTGGCACAGTTAGTTACCCTTTAAATTTGTTTTCTCATAAATGAACTTTATTTAATACTACATTTAAATTTCATTATATCAAAGTAGGACACCCTCTATATCTTGCACAAAACTCCATAAGTTAAATACATAGTTCTCAAAACTCAGATAATGCCCAGAGCAAGATCATATATAACAGACAAGTCAAATTGCAGCATTCTAGCTTTAAATGCATAATGAATTGTCTATTCAGAAGAGAATTTTAATTAGTCTCATTCACATAGAGTGTTTCTTTCAAATTTGTTATTTGGAATAACTGCTAACATTTATTGAGTGTTCATCATCTGCCAAGTACTCTTCCAAGCCCTTAACAAAAATTGTCTCATTTAACCCTCAAACAATCCTATGAGATGGATTATTATACTCCCAGTTGACAGATGAGAAGACAAAGAAATGAAGTAACTTATAAAGATGCAAGGGCCAAACTTTGAACCCAGACAGTCTAACACCAGAGATGGTGGTCTAATCCCCTTCCACGTTACCTTCCAATAGGGATCAATGTCAATGCAAAATAAGCTCTACTAAATATGACTCCTTAAAAGAGAAATGCTGTAAATTCCAAAAAGATTTTAAAGTCTATCTAGGTGAGAAAGACTATTAGCTCTGAAAGGACTGGCTTTGAGAAAACATTTCCCTTGAGTATTTAATGCTGTGGTAATGTGAAATAGCCCAATCTATGCATTAAATATTAGAAAGTGACTTATACCTATTTTACCTTCTCACTCCATACACAATAATGTATAATTCTGCCTTGCTCAATAATTAAGAGGTTAAAAATAAATCTTGACTCAATAATTTACTGTCCCAATATTCTTCCTTCCAATTCTAAGAAAAGAGGTCCCTTTACTTGCTTTCTAAAGCTAATCCATCAACCAACAGACTATATCTCCATATCCCTTCACATCTCCCTCTGACACCACCTCCCGTGTTTATTTCAAACCTCTATCATCTCTAGTCTCTACTCCACAGGATACGTTTCTTCCACTGTCAAGCATATTTTAATAGTCCTAACACTAAAAATTTTTGGTTTAAATCATATTCATATCATTCCTTTTGAGACCAATTTCCTGGAAATGTGGTATACAACTACTGCCTCCACTTACTAATAAATATTTTATTGGAAATCTTCAGCAATCTCTCCTCTGTATCCATCATTATAAAGAAATGGCACTTTTGAAAATCACCAACGTTTTTGCCAAAACCAGGGCCTAATAGTTGGTTCATCAAATTTGTTCCCCCTTACTCCTCTAAACTTCCTGTTAATCTTGTTTTTTTTTTTTCAGACTTAATTTTTCTCCTCTTTATTTCCTACAGTTCCTTCTGATTTACTTGTTAATTCCTGTTCTGTCTGTCTCCTGTCCCAACAGTGGGTGTCTCCCCAGACTCTGAAACCACTAATTCTCCATATGAAAACATTCATTCTGCATATAACTCCTAAATCTTTACTTTAAGATCTTTACACCTGCCTTTCCATTTTTCTGTAGAACATTAAGCTTTTGTGTCTTAAAACACATTAAATTCAAAGCTAAACATTATTTCACAACAAATCTTTCCTTTCCAACCACCTTGTTTCTCAGTAATAATTCCATTCTTCTCATTTAAAATACACCTTCTCTTTAACTCCTCCCTCAACTTAACTTTTACATCCAATGTATCATCAAATTCTGACATATTTCTTAAAAGGATATGTACTAGCCCTCTGAGATTTGGCCTTCACTTCCACTCTTAACTACAGCCACTTATTCCCAATCGTAACCCCTTTCTCCAATCAATGACTAGTCTTTCCATAGACACCACTTTAATCTTGTCATTATCTTGTTTGAGATCCCATAACAATATCCACAAATCTGAACAAATGAAGTCAGAACTTCTCCGTCTGGATTAAGGTACCACATTGTCTGATCTTATTCAGGTTTATTTTCTACTACTTCAGGAGTTCTTACCCCAAGATCCATGGATGAACAGTCTTTCCAAAATCTAACAGCCCTCTAAGGTTGGATGAAAAATGTTATATGCATGTGTACATGGTGGGAGAAGGGAGTGAAGAAAGGTCCAGTATATGATACTTTAAATAAACAAGAGCCTACTGTATAGCACAGGGAACTATATTCAATACCTTGCAATGGCCTATAATGAAAAGGAGTATTAATATATAGAGAGAAAAGTATATATACACATAACTGAATCCCTATGCTGTATACCAGAAATTAACACAACATTGTAGATCGACTATACTCGAACTAAAAAAAAATGTTAGGAACCAGCGCCTTACTTACAAGCATACGCCCCCTACTCTAGACTGCTCATCACCCTGCTGCTTGCTCTTCATGCCTGTGTTTTCCTCTTCTCCTCGGGAGAAGCTTCCAAGCATCTGCAGAGCCAGCTCTCCAGTCAATGCCTCTTGCATTTGCAGTTCAAAACACACAATTACAACTAAGCCGTTTTTCTTGTGGTAAGTCCGTGAAGGAAGGGGCCTGGGCTTAAAAGTCACTTTCGTACATCGCCACCAGCACCTAACTCCAATCGCCCCAACGCTAATGCTTAGGCCAATGCTAAGCACGTCGTAAAAACACAAGTACTGTAACGATAACGACCACACAACGGGGCAAAATATAAAGTTTACTGCCACGCCTGGACCAATAACGAAGCATCTTACCGATAAAATGTCGTGTTGACGCTGTCATCCATTCCCTTCACGAATCATTCTTCAATTCTGGATCCAAAACTACGACGAGACTGGAATTCTCTAAAGTAAAAAAGCCGCCAAAATGACAGCTAAGAGAAACTCCGGAGGAACCCCTGGCCCTTCCCAAATTCCTTCTCGCTCCACCACAGGTGAGTTCACGAAGGACGCAGAAGGGCCCAGCCGGGAGACCTCCGCTCCCTCAGACTCCAGCCGAGCCCTGAGACTTCACGCCTGGAGGGACATTTCCGCTAACCCAGCTCCGCGGCCCTCGCTCCTGCGGAGTTGGCTTCTGCTCGCGGAGAGAAAGGGCAAGGAACAGTGTGTCCCTATTCGCCCCTCTCCACTTCAGCCCTCAGGAGCTAAGGCCGGCTCGGAAATCCCGCCATTGAGAAAGCGGCAATTTAGCGTCCTGCCGCCGCCTCTGTTTAAAATCGTTTCCCGACTCGCTCTGCGGCCTGACGCAAGACGCCTCTGCGGCCTGACGCAGACGCCTCCGCAGCGCCGATTCCAAGTCAGTGAAGCAACTACAGTCGCCATCTTAACTAAGGGCACGGGAGCGACTAACCATTATCGTCAACTTGCCTATCGCACGACGTTATCTTCCGCGCTTTTCTACCGGCGCGAAGCTTTCCTTCAGATCTCTGCCCGTAGTAAAGATGGCAGCGTCCCCTCCGCTCTGATTGGTCGAATCCCTCCCTTAATCTTGGGTGCTCGTGGGGATGGTTAAGGAGCGCTTGGCTGCTAGCTGAAATCTGTGTGTAGTTTCGGGCCGTAAAACCATTTTGGATTTGCTTGCCTTCCTCTTTCTGAAGACTCTAGGTCGGCCGCCAGGTCTGGGAGATTTGAAATGCGGGGCTGAGTTCCTCCTTGTTTTCCGGTTCGGCCTGTAGGAACCTTCGAAGAAGGGTGTATGGAGGGGAAGGGCGTGCGCCTGCTGACTGGCCCCTTCTGCCTCTGCAGGGGTCCCGCCTCGCGCTGCTGTCTGGAGTCGTTCTCTTGTCACTGCCTGCCACATCTTTGTTAATAGAAGTGGAAACTGATGCATTGGGTGGGGGAAGGTCTTTCCCCTAACAAACTTCCCCCAAGGGTCCCAAAGACCTTGCAGATTTGTCTAGTTTCTAGACATATATACTTAAATATTCAGCGGAGAAGGGCTTAAATATTGGAGAAGAGAGTGGAAACTCTTAGCATTTTAAGAGATTTGTGTGTATTTGCAAAACTGACTTGACCACGGTCCAACATCCGCAGCGTGAGATTCCTGAGCGTCCCGCCAGACCTGCTCCAACATGTTCTCCTGTTGGTTAAGTCGGCTATACTGGGCTTTATCCAAACCCACCGGAAGGACCAAGCCGCTCATCTGGGGTTTTCTCTCCCGAAGTCTGGTATTGAGTTCACAAAGGAGAATTCCAGGTGAATGCATTGAAGAGCTTTGTCCTCTGAACAGTACTTCCTCCTGTTCTCTGCAGCCAGTGATTATTCCATTTTCCCCCTAATCTTGACTGTGTAGCTTTATGAGTATACTTATAATGTATTATAAGAAATATGTAACTAATTATTTCCCCTGGAGTTTAAAAGGACCGGAAAAGTGACCACATGAATAGGCTATTCATTTAGTTGATGCTACTAATAAGAAGCCTAAAAAATTCATTCATACTTGAGAATACTTTGAATAGAGTTTTCTCGTGTACAAGTGACTGTTTCACTCTGTAGTCATACTAAAACTAGTTACTGCACCATCAAACTTAAGTAATTCTCAAGATACTTTTTTCATTTGGGGAAGAAATGTGCAGTATTAAGAATAGGGTAATTTTACGTCAGTGCGTATGCTGGGTGATCAAAAATATTTAGATTTCTTAACACAAGGCAAAAAATTACATTAAGATAGTTTATTCACATAGCTTTTGACATATTTGCAGGTAAACTTAATAGTGATTGATTACATTCTTCGACTATAAATTTCACCCATTGACATGAAATACTAAAGGTAATGTGATTTGAGGGTCTATTTACAAGCAATTTTGTAAATGATTTATTTTTAATCTTGCTTTTTTCTTCTTTTTTTAAGAACTCAGTAGCTTCGTTGCCCGGACCAACACGTGTGGAGAGTTGCGTTCTTCTCACTTAGGTCAAGAAGTCACCTTATGTGGATGGATTCAGTACCGAAGGTAGAGACAGATGGTTTAAGAATGTATTGTGGTGGTGTTTTCCCAAGGCAGTTCCAAACCTTTGTTAATTTTTAAGCTCAGGTAAGCTGGCAAGCTTCAATAACATAAAAAAAGCTTATTTTATTCTAAATTTAGGTAGAGAAAAAGCCTAAAAACATGAACAGTGATTCCTTTATGTTAGAACCCATTTTGTTGTTCTTCATCTCTGTATTCCAGAACATACCTGAATAGTGCTTTTAACTCACAATGAAGAGATCCAAAATACATAGATTGTGTGACCTCCCTAAAGAATATGTCCCAGAAGAGTGACTATTTGACTCATACATTTGGTGACTTTTATCTCCTGAACTCAAAATCTAAGGAGGCTTCTGTACCTCTTCTTGACCCTAAACAGGAATGTAGGTTGAATACTAAAATTTTGGGATTTGGGGAACCTTTTGATGGTTTACAGAGGTATTAAGTTAGCATTGGACCTCCTTTAGAAGATTTTAGATTGCATCTTATTTTTAGGAAAAGATTTTATATTGCTATACTTAGAAAATGTCCATCTAATTACCTCTCCCCCCCCAAATTTTTTTTTTAATTTTTAAATGTCCAATTAGATGTCTCAAATATCCTAAAATATTCTCCTTGGATTTTAATATGTGGAAAGTTTCCAAATTTAATAAAATTTTCTTCTAAAGACTTAAGCCAATGGCATTTAGAAATTTTTTTAATCTACCTTTTCATTAATAAGCCATCTGGATAGCATTAGTAAACTGTACATATAGCTAATAAAAGTTGAAACTGTAAATGAAAAAAAGTGTTTTTCATTAATAAGCTACACAGATAACTGTATGAATATAGCTATGAAAGCAATTATATATTATAAAAAAGGAAAGTAGGAAATTGCATGGGTTTTTATTTGCTTAATTTGTTTTGCCTGCTTAAATTTTGGTCTCAGAGATTTTATCCTAATATATTCATTTTCTTCATTAATCAGGCAGAATATCTTCCTGATCCTAAGAGACTTCAATGGGCTTGTTCAAGTTGTCATTCCTCAGGATGAGGTAATAATAAAAGTTTCCTCTTGTTATCTGAAAGCTTCTGATGCTGTGGTTAGAATGAGCTAAACATATAGGATAAGTATATTTGAGGTTTTAAATGAAGAAGTTTATTATTAATGAAAACTAAAAACCACAAGAAGCAACATTAAGACAAATGACAAACTGGGAGAAAAATATGTGCAAATCGTGCCACAGACAAAGACTAATTTCTCTAATATCTAAAAGGCTACTACAAATCAATTTAAAAAATTTGTTTTAAAAAGACCAGTGACCCAGTAGAAATACAGATGCAGAATATGAACATAAAATTCAGAGAAGATACAAATGGCTATTTTTCTGTATGTCTATGGACATATTAAAATACGCCCAGCTTCACCCATAGGTAGGGAAATGTGAATTAAAACTACACAGAATTGTTATTTTGGATGCATTGGATTGACAACACACTGTGTTTGGGAAAAAACAAATGCTCATACACTCCTGGAGGGAGTCCAGATTGGCACTAGATCCATGGAGAGCAATTTGACAATATCAAAATTATGAATGCATATATCCTTTGAACCATTCATTCCACTTCTAGTCAATTATCTTAAAATTATCTTACACATAGACTTACATAAATGCAAAATGACACAAATACAAGGTTATTCACTGCTGGATTATTTTTAATAGGAAAAAAAATTGTGAACAACCTAGATGTTCCCCAGTAAGAGATTGGTATAAAAAAAAATGTAATCCTTATAGCCATAGAAAAAAGACTGAAGAAGCTCTTTATGTACTAATATGGAAAAAAATCCAAGGTATATTCTTAGTTAAAAATATAAGATACAGAAGAGCATGTAAGGTGACATTAGCTGTATTAAAAAGGGTGTGTGTGTGTGTATGTATGTTTCAAGTGTGTCCTGGAAGGACACATAAGTATCAGCTAATGTTGGGTATCTCTGGGGAGGGGAACTGAGGGGCTGGAGGACAAGGATAGAAGAAAGACTACATCTACTTGTACCTTTTGAATTTGAACCATGTGAAGGTCCTACCCACTCAAAAAATAATTACAGTTAAATTGAGATAAAATAGACTCTCGTCATGCTTGTTGGGCAATATTGGTTTCTATGGTGGTAATATTTACAAATGCTTGTACGCCTGAGGAAAATAAGATTTACTCAGCTCTTAATGTTTGAAGTAAGTAAAGAGCAATGGATTGTCTCTCAGGGATCAGGATGCAGAGATGAGCATAGTTAACCCAGGAGAACTCCTTCACTTTGGACTCCATTATTGCTATTTGATTTAACTGCCCCTAAGGTTAACCCTGGAGACAGCTGCCTTTAAAGTATGTGGGACTTGTTTGCATTAATCATTTGTTTCCTTATTTTCCTTTAAGGAAAAAAAAAATCTTAACTAATAGTTTTTCTTGCTATAATATATGGAGTCAAAATGGGGATGTAATTTACCGAATTCTTTAATAAAGTCATTAAGGGCAGCCCCACTATTCATGGCAGTTAAGCTATGAGTACTAACATTTTTCTAAACCCATAATTTACAGTTGCTACAGAGTCCTCTAAGTTCATTTGTTTGTTTTCCCCTCTTATGCTGTAGTCGGCTGCGTCTGTGAAGAAGATTTTGTGTGAAGCCCCCGTGGAGTCTGTGGTGCAAGTGTCTGGGATAGTAATTTCCCGACCTCCAGGACAAGAGAATCCAGTTAGTCATTCAGAAACTGTTTCATTTTCACCTGTATACATTTGCACAATCTGTCTATACATTCAGGCAACAGACACTGAGTACCTATTAGATGTCAGGCACTAATGCTCTGTAAGTTCTACAAATGAACCTACAGATTAAAAAATCTTCACTACGAACACAAACAACTACATATATATGCCTATTATGGCATTTTTTAATGAGCACATCAGCCAAAGTTATGCATAAGAATGTCAAAGTCATACACGTTTGTTTTAGACTACGCACTATAAGCAACCACACATACTACATATGTGAATGAATGTATTTGTTTACAAACATTTGTTGTGTACCTGTCCTGATGAGTGATTTTAAAAATAGACCTTTTCTCTGTCTCTCTCTTTAAGAAAATGCCAACAGGTGAGATTGAAATCAAAGTTAAAACAGCTAAACTTCTGAATTCCTGCAAGAAGCTGCCCTTTGAAATCAAGGACTTTGTGAAGGTGCCATCCTCTGTTATTAATATAGTACAATATCTAGAAAATGTTGATGACCAGTAAAGTGTTTTCAGAGTTTCTTAAAGAAAAAGCTCAACTTCTACAAAATTAAGCATCTTGAATATTGATATATCATGAATTATTCTGTTCTGCAATTTTCTGGTGAAGTGTTCTTGAATAGCAATAGTTCATTAAGCTGTGCTAGTTCCTAAATACCTAGAATGTTTTTTCAGACAGCTTGAAACACAACTGTCTTTTTTTTTTCTCCTGAGTCATAGAGTAGATGTTTGTTTAACTTTTTAAGAACCTGCCAAACTGTTTTCCAAGATCGTTTTACTATTTAAACTCCCACCAGCAGTGCATGAGTTTCATTTGCTCCACATCGTCACCAATATTTATGTTACTATTTTAATTTTCATCATTCAAGTGAGTGTGTGGTAGTATCTAATTATAATTTTAATTTGTATTTTTTTTTACAATTGTCTTTAAGACTTGAATGTTGTTTTGCTCGAGTTTTTTTGTTGCCATTGGCTTATGTTTTGAAAGGAAATTTACGTCTAGCTTAGAAATGGCCAAATGGCATAGGAGATTCGGCATGTATTAAGTTTAAGCTTCTAACGGTGATAAAATGTTTGCTTGACTTCCCAAGTATATAAATATGATTACGGTAATCTAGGATATTCTCTGAGGCAGCTAGACAGCACTGGGTAACTAAACCCAGCTAATTTTCAGCTTTGTCAAAATTATCTACAACTATAAACCTGTATGTATCTAATTTGTAAACTAATCTATAAAGGAATTTTTTAATTACTTGCATGGCCACCTCGTCTACATTTAAGTTCCCAATACTTAATCTTATAATTAGAAAAAGCAATGTAATTACAGAGTTAACCTTGTTGTGGGGGGAAAAAAGGAAATATACAGTTTTCCCCCACCTATAAGCTTTCAGAAAGAGAAGTGACAGGTAGTTCTTCTATTTCTTATATCAAAGAAATAAGCTATTCCAGGGGAAAGGACTTTTTAAAAAAGTCAGCACAAGAGGGATGCAGGGATATAGAGCCTTGAAAACAAGCAGGCCTTCTCACCATTCCTACCGGTTCAGCCGTGGAGGTTCTCTCTGCTGTCTCCCTGCATTTCTTACACTTGTAGTCCCATTCAGGTGATAAAGTCATGGCTGTTTCTGACTGTGGTGTAGTTTCGAAATCTTAAAAAAAAAAAAATTTCAAGATTCAACTGTGGACTTAAAAATGAATAGATAATATTTAGTAAGGTAGGCAACTTGCAACTAGTGATGGGTGACTTACTGAAAAATGTAAAATCTGTACTAGGAACAAACCCAGAAGTTGCAGGAGGTGAGGATGGTGGTGTATGCACAAGTGGTGGAAGCCAAAGGTAGAGCTAAAGTCGTTGAAAATTCAGAACCTGTATCTACAGTTAACATCTTTTTAATATTCGAAAACTATTTAAACATAAAAATCTTTCAATTTGTTTAGAAAACAGAGGCTCTTCGTTTGCAGTATCGCTACTTAGACTTGCGTAGCAGCCAAATGCAGTATAACCTGCGACTGAGGTCCCAGATGGTCATGAAAATGCGGGAATATCTCTGTAATCTGCATGGTAAGGGAAGTGCCTGAATGTTCTCTGGAGCTCTTTAGCATCCCTTCTGTGTTATTTAGCAATTTTATTGCACCCCACTCCTTAGCCTCATTGGGTCAGTTGTTGCCAGAGGTCTGAAATTCACTTAATGTGTAAGGAATCTTTTTTCATTTTTCAGTTTTATTAGGTAGAATTGTTAAAATTTGACTACATGTATACAGTATATTGCACGTAAATACATATACAAAATATACTGCACATATTTTTTTAAATATACGTATATGTACTGTTCACTGTTTCTAAGAACATTTAGAGCTTTAGCTTTTTAAACTTACATAGTTATCAAAGGAATAAGCCAACCACAAAATAAGAATTATATGTAAGGTAGTTTTTAAAGAAATGTTAATTTCCAAGTGTTTTGTCCTTGAGCTTAAATTAAATTAAATAACATAAAGCATAATTTGATTCCCTACTGGGTCACAAACACAGCCTTTTGAAGGTGAAATCATCTGTTACATTGTCTAAGTGTTTCCCATCATTGTTGAAGGTGCACCAGCCCTTTGGTTGTTATCTGTAAGTTTTTTTCATCATGTTTGTACATCATTTGTTGGAAGCTCAGAGAAACTACACTCTTCAGTCAGTCCTGAGGATTTGCTACTATATTTATGTTATTCTTGCTGTGATAGCAGAACATGTAGAAAACCAGAATAGGAGGGAGGATGTAGCTCAAGTGGTAGAGCGCATGCTTAACATGCACAAGGTCCTGGGTTCAAGCCCCAGTACCTCCTCTAAAAATAAATAAGTAAACCTAATTACCTCCCCCTAAAAAATAAACTTAAAAAAGAGAGAGAGAGAGAGAAAACCAGAATAGTTCAGTAGACAATCCATCAAACAGAATCATTTCATGCTAAAAGTATCAACTTTATGAACAAAATAGGATTTTATGAAAATCTTTAGTTTCCTTCTTGGGTTTGCAGAAACTAGTATCAGTAGGCTTGGTAACTTATTTCAGTCAAAATTCCTAACAAAAGAGTAGCCTCAGATTTGTTGGACTGTCCTGTAGATGACATATTTGATCAATTCCTATCAAATTATGATATTTCTCTCTGTAGGGTTTGTGGATGTAGAAACACCAACATTGTTTAAGAGGACTCCAGGGGTATGTATGTTCCTTAAATCAGCCTATTCATAATGTCCTATTAGTTATGAAACTGGACCACTTTTTTTTTTTATATTCACTTAGTTGTACCTTTTAAAATTTATTTTACTGCCTTAGGATGGTCACATTAACTAGGTCTTCTCAAGAGTTGAGAAAATGACATGGGTCAGTATTTTAGGTCAGAATCCTGTTATCCTCCATGTGTTTTCTTTTGTTGAGGTTTATGGCTGCAAATCAATATTGAGTTGGTTCCTTAAAAATAAATCCTTTGTTCATTAAGAACTGGCATTTCTAAATGTTGACGTTTAATCTATTTATACACTCTTATGAACTTATAAAACTATACTTTAAATTTAGAAAAGCAGTTAGGAATTACCTGAATTGGAATTAATGCACAAAATCCTTTTAGCTACTAACAGAATTGGGAGTTCATTTCAACAAGCAATTGTACATTTAATACTTACAATGTACAAACATTATTTAAAGTCTAGTGTGTGCAAGCCTTTTGGGGACTAAAGGATGAGCAAGAAATGGACTCTGGTATTGTGGAAACTTTGCTCTTTATAGTTGATTTCATTGATGAGCTGAAGTATTGACTTGCACCAGTTCTTGGACTTGTTTTTTTAATAATAACTCTGCTCTCCCCCTCTCTCATTCAAAGGGTGCAAAAGAGTTTGTCATACCATCCAGGGAACCTGGGAAGTTTTATTCTCTTCCTCAGAGTCCTCAGCAGTTTAAGCAGCTTCTGATGGTTGGTGGTTTAGACAGGTGAGCTTTCTTCATGCTAGCCGTGGTCAGAAAAGGGAGAGAGGGCAGGCGGAAGGGAAAAAGGAAATAGATTTGTCTGGTGTCCTAAAAGAAGGTTAGAAAATGTATAAGAGTTTGGAAAATAGTTATAAAATACCCTAAAAACGTGTAGTTATTATGTAAAGATTTATTGGACGGCCACCATGTACAAAGCTCTATGCTAGTAGATGGGGCAGGGGATTATAAACAAAAACAAACAAACAAAAAAATAGGTTTTGCTCTCAAGGAGCTAATGAATCTAATAGGACAAAATAGAATAATAAATAAAACCCAGGATAGGAGGTATATAGCTCAGGGGTAGAGTACATGCTTGGCATGGATGAAGTCCTGGGTTCAATCCCCAGTGCCTCCATTAAGGGAAATATACATACATACATACATACAAACAAAAACCAACTGTATAGGGGGAGGGTATAGCTCAGTGGTAGAGTTCGTGTTTAGCATGCATGAGGTCCTGGGTTCAATCCCCAGAATCTCCATCAATAAATAAATAAACCTAATTCCCCCCTTCCAAAAAAAAAAAAAACTGTGACATAAACCAAAAGTAAGGATGTTGAGAGTTGCAAATTAGTTGTATTATGAGGTTTGAAAATATCATTTTGGGAAATATTAAAAACTTTGTGAGCTACGCCTTCTGGGACACAGCTGCATTTCAGCAGATGAAGATGAGAGCTGGAATGGCACAACACAGGAAAGCTCAAGTGTATGCATGGAGCAATGAGTATTTCAGTTTGGCTGAAGCAAGAGTGTGTGTAAGGAAGCACGGACTGCCTTGCCTGTCAGTGTAATACATGAATATCCAAAGGCACCACTGTACATTTTAACAACAATGTAGAGTAGTTGACTTCTCACGGGTCAACTATGTGTCTGATTAGATTAGAGCATCAGAAAGAATTTTCAAATTTCTTATGTCCTTTAGGTATCATTATTAATTTACTTCATAGCCTGTGTTGCCAGGGACTTTTGGGGAAAAGTGTGGGTGTCTTCCCAGAATCATGACTCAGTGCTGTTTTTCAAATGCAGGTATTTTCAGGTTGCCCGATGTTACCGAGATGAAGGTTCGAGACCAGACAGACAGCCTGAATTTACTCAGGTACTAAGTTATATGCACTTGTTTCTTATTCATGCAGCCTTGCCACAGCTAAGTCTGTCAAAACCAGGACAGAAATTATATATACTTTTTTCTCATGACTTCTCATTACATTTATCCATCAAATATTGAATTAAACTAACCTGCAGTTGAGGCACTAATTATTTACTTTTTGATCCATTTCATGTGTCCTTTTTATAAGGACTATGGTCATCAGCTAAGGAATGCCAAGATATTCCTACTATATTTTAATGATCATAATATGGTAAAATTCTTGAAACAAATCTCTTGTGCACTAAGAACCAACAGTTCTGTATATTGATATTTTATCCATTTACCTAGTCAGAGTCATCAAAGCTATGATTGCATTTCTGTATGGTATCATATTAGTCAGGGTGATGAAGCACAAAAACCGTAATGCTGTGGAGATGGACAGACCTGAGATCAAATGTAGTTTCACTTCTTACTCACTATACATACTTGGGCAAGTTACTTAGCCGAGCCTCAGGCCATGAGACAGCCATGGGAACTAAACAAGATGATGTGTGACAGGCATGAGCACGGTGCCTGACCTAAAACAGATGTACTAAACAGGTATATTACACCCCCGCCCCTTTGTATTAAGTCTTCATGTGCAGAATCCTATGGTAACCTGAAACCAGAGAAATGTATAAATGCATATGGACCTATTGATATTGTGGCTGTTCAAGTTAGTTTCCGTATGTTGTTTTGGTTTCAGATTGACATAGAGATGTCTTTTGTAGACCAAACTGGGATCCAGAGTCTAATTGAGGGTTTGGTCCAGTATTCGTGGCCCAATGACAAAGATCCTGTGGTGGTTCCTTTTCCTTCTATGACTTTTGCTGAGGCGTTGGCCAGCTATGGAACTGATAAACCAGACACTCGCTTTGGGATGAAGGTAATTTTCTTCACTTTTCCAGGCTGAAGTCTTTTTAAACCACCGTTTAAGTGATGTTTACAACTGGTTATACACATTATTATATTTTTTGTTGTTACTGTTAGCTTGTTTCCTTTTTGTTACCCAGCTACAGCAGGAGAGAATAATGGTGTGTTGGCAATACAGTTTTTTTTTCTATCTGCTATGTTCCAAGATCCATTTTCAAGAGCAACATTCTTGCCATAAAGTTTTTACTACTGACAAGTTATTAATTATAAGGACATGAATGATAACTTGAAAGGAAAAAAAACATGTTCTTTCCTCTTCAACTTTTCTTAAGCTAAAATGGCACTTGGAAGACAAATGATTAAGAGTTATTTATTCCTTTTCTCTGGTCTATAAAGAACTCAAACATATGGAAACATTTATTCACATTGTTAAGATCTATGCATGTTTAAGGATAAGGGTAGAATTCATATAGAGCAGCTTCCCTTCGCAAGTCTCTTATTTGCTCTTAGAGAGCCAACAGCTCTTTGTTGCTGTAATGCTGGTGACATTCTGTATGTCAGTTCCCAGTGCAGATTTCTTAGCAATTGAATTTCGCTTGGTCCGTGAATAGGCAGTGCTCAATTCTTTTCTTTTTTTTTTTTAACATTTTTTTATTGAGTTATAGTCATTTTACAATGTTGTGTCAAATTCCAGTGCAGAGCACAATTTTTCAGTTATACATGAACATATATATATATTCATTGTCACATTTTTTTTTCACTGTGAGCTGCCATAAGATCTTGTATATATTTCCCTGTGCTATACAGTATAATCTTGTTTATCTATTCTACATTTTGAAATCCCAGTCTGTCCCTTCCCACCCCCTGCCCCCCTTGGCAACCACAAGTTTGTATTCTATATCTATGAGTCTGTTTCTGTTTTGTATCAGTGCTCAATTCGTAGAATGAAAAAAATGTAACACACAAAAAGTCATAACTGCCTACTTACAACAACCAACTTAACTACTGCTTGTTTCTTCTTTTGTGATATGGAATAGTGGTTCTTAAGTCAGGTGACTGCTTAGGTGAAATCCTGGCTCTCTCACTTCCCAGCTCTGTCATCTTGGACAAGCTATGTCCTTCTCTGTGCCTTGGTTTCCTCATCTATTAAATGGGGATAATACGAGTACCCTGTTGTGTAGATGAAATGAATTAATACTAATGAATAATATGTTAGTACATTAACACTTGTCGTGGTGCCCAAACCATGATAAACACTCTATGAATGCATTCTAAAAATGTTAACAAGATCTACTTTGCTTTTTTAAATCTTGTTTGTAAAATACTTTGAGATAACAATTAATTCATGTTTAGTTATCCTTTTTGTTACCCATATTCCAGATTGTGGATATCAGTGACGTGTTCAGAAACACAGAGGTCAGATTTCTTCAGGATGCACTTAGTAAACCCCAAGGAACCGTCAAAGCCATATGTATCCCTGAAGGAGCAGTAAGTGGAGCACAATTCTATGTTTTCTCTAAAATGTATATTTGGGAAGTAAACTTTGGCACATTTAAACTTCAGAAAGAACAGTTCTCTTTAAAAAAGGATATATATTTTTCCTCTCCATTTTTGGGGGGAGCTGTGGGGGGAGATGATTAAGTTTATTCATTTAATTTTTTCTTTTTCCTAATGGAGGTACTAGGGATTGAACTCAGGACCTTGTGCATGCTAAGCATGCACTATATCACTGAGCTGTACCCTCTCCCTCACCAAGGATATATATTTTTATATAAAGTCTAACCGTGTCCCTAAAACTATACGTAGAGAACAGTAAAACCTTATGAATATACATTTACACTCTCAAGATCTATAGCTTTATTTTTTTCCCTTTTAAACAGTGCTGTAAAGTATCCTGTACTTCATTTGGGATTATTTCCACCAGTGCTGAATGTAAAATAGTATTCATATTCTGTCTGCAGCCTCAGTTTGTCCAAAGGCTCTCAGCCCCATGTCAACTCCAGCATAGCCCTTGCATATTGGTTCGTGGTCTTCTGAGGCTCTGAGGTCAATATTCCATTAATAACAGGGAAAGAGAAAGGAGGTGGGAGCTGTGAAAAGCAAAAGGGAGGGGAAATGAGGGTAGAAAGGAGAGAGAATGGTTGGGCTGGACAGGCATTGACTCTAAAGTCATGGGACATGTCTATTTTCTGTAGTTAGCACACCTGCTTTGAAAATAATAAGAGTTCCAAAAGTATTCTGAGTAAGACTATTATTTCAAAAGACTACTCATTTCGATACATAAGCATATTAATATATTTAAAATGGGGATAAGAATTCAGTCTCATTACTTCTTTTTTTCACTTCGTATGTTCAGTGGGAAGTAATTTGGTGTCTGTACCCTAGTCCAGACACCATGAATGTGTCCAGGTAAGCTCAGTATGATATATATTGCTTGCTGTTGTTATTTACCCCAATTTGAGTATGTCCTTTCTTCTCCAAGTAGATTGTAAGGACTGTAGGGTCATGAACCATGCTTTCACCTTTTTGTATGTCCTCTCCCTAGTTAAGTGCCCCATGAGTATTAGTGATGATGACAGCCATCGTGTCTCACTTAGAAAGATACTGAGATAATTTAGAAGAAGTAAGATATAACAAATTTTAAAGACCTGAAATAATCAAATTTGAATCCTCTTACTGACCTGAAAGTTATTTTATCTTTCACTATTTAGTTGCAGAGATTCATTTTGAACATTTATCCCACATATTATATATGAAGGGTCTTTTGTGCAATACATCCATGGCTATTTCCAATAAGACCTGCATAATTCGAAAAAAAAAATAAACTTTATAACAAGCTTTAAAATTTTGTCATCTGGAAGCAGAAATGAAATTTTTATTGATTCCTAATATTGTGATGGAAAGACACAAAATACATTTGTATCCCATTCGATATTATTAACATGTTTATGAAACTAAATGTTTTATTGATGAGTTTACTTTGATTTTTTTTCCTACCAGAAATACTTAAAAAGAAAAGATATTGAGTCCATTAGAAAATCTGCAGCCGACCGTTTCAAACAGGTAAGGAGTTAGAGAAGTTATTTTCCTTTCTTTTAGAGATTCCGTATTTTTAATAATTGCTTGTGCTCTTATTAGTTTTGTGCTGTCATTAGTTTTGAGGGTCTGGCTATGTTAGATCATTCTTCTAACTTTTCTTCTTTTTATTTTTAAAGTTAATCTTACCCCTGGATATAACTCCAAGACTTCAACTTAGTTGATTCGCCATTAATCAGAACATGAGTGGTCAATCATAGCCTTCTAAAATAAACAGCAGTACTTTAGGGCACTTAGGAAAATAAATAGAGCCCAGTGTGCCCAAGGTTTAAATGAAAGCATGATAGGTGTGAAAGAAAGCCTGTATGGATTGATTGTTCTTCTCACACCCTTTTTAAAATTCTGAATACACCTTTCCTTTGAATGGCACACTTTGTGTTCTTGGCTTCACAAATGTTAGAACTAAAAGACAGAGGAGCAGGTGCAGGGAGTGGGCATTCTTACATTGTCACTGGAAGTGTAAACTGCCTCAGCCGTTTTGGAATCACTGACTTGAAAAATAGTCATGCTCTTGGAGTCAATAACTTTCTGTACTTTAAAGAAAGGGTTTTAGGTATGAAGACACTTAACACTCATCACCGTATTACTTATAACAGGAAAAAAATGAAACCATATGGGAGTGATTAAATAAATTAAGGTAGAATTAAAGGGATTAGTATTAAAGTTCCTTTTTAAAACTTTGTCTCCTAAAAGTTTGTAATGTAGGGAAAATGTTTGGGTTATAATGACTTGTAAGAAAAGGAGGGTACAAAATTACAGGTTCACTGATCCTAACCATGTATAAACACTGTATTTGTGTGTTGAAAGTGGACTACCCACCTCTCCCACCACCACATCTCAGTCTCATACATCAAGCTCAAAGGGATTTTTTCAGTAAAAAAGAAAGAATGATAAGGATAGTGGTTTCCAAAATGGGTCAAGGCAAAATAAGAAAACCCAGGGGAATGTATAAAGTTTTTCATAAAGTTAAAGAACTGTTCCTTACTTCTTGTTTTTTTGCTATGGAAATTTTTTTTCTTTTATGAAATGATGGTAATAATAAATGATATTTTGGTTTTGTTTTATGCCCCTGATAAAATTCAAATTGGCAACCCTTATAATCTCCCACTTTTGTTTCTTTATTTTTATTTTACTAGTATTTTAAATCTGCATTTAGGAATCACAGGACCAGGAAATAAGCCTGAAGGTTAACTTTGGTAGCCTGTAGTTGATGGGACTGTTATTACATCTTCTTCTTTCCTCCTTCTCCTCTTTTCTTGATTTCCTAATTTCCTGAATTTTTTATTTTTTTAGTAAAAGTTTTAAATTCATTAATGTTTTAACTTGATTTGGCTTAAATTGTGTATGATATGTTTATTTTTAGCAGTATGCTATGTGCATGTTTTAAAAAACATATAGTAAAGGATTAATAATTCAGTGCAGTAAGTGTTTACTCTAGCTCACTCCACTCCAGTCCCATACCAGATTGCCTCTGTTCTTAGAAATAATGTCTACATGCTGCCTTTTTCTTTTAATTTAACTTATCCATTTTAAACCTTATCTAACTTCCTGCAGTGAGAGATAAGGCTCATATACACAGGCCTGACCTAGTTCCTCTGTATCTTCCTGCATCTGGCTTCTTTGGTAATTCATATTCCATTCACATGAAACCTGCCCCCGAATGGGCAGAATTCTCCTACTTGCAGATATCCCATCCCACCCTTGGTTCTTTTTTTTCCTCCTCCCCCTCATCTTGGTGAGATCACTTTTAGATTCCTTTAATATCATTTTGAAGGGCTTCAGGGAGGGAATGTGGGTTGTTTTGGGAACAAGAAATCTTTGTACTTCAAGAAAAATCAATCCCAGCTTTTTTTTTAATGTGAATAATAAGTCTGTTTCCTTATCACAGGAGGTCTTACCTGTATTCCTGAAAGCCAGCAGAAAGTGGAATTCTCCAGTTGCTAAGCTCATAATGGAGGAGCAAGGGCTGCGACTAATCAGACTGCTGGAGGTCCAGGAAGAGGATGTGGTCCTGCTAACTGCTGGAGAACACGAGAAAGCAGTAAGCAGTTACCTCCCGGCACCTGATGCCTCCCTTCTCCTGTGTGTACAGTACACATTTGAAAGTGACTGTTAATTTCATAAAATGGAGCTGCTCTGCACGAGTTTTCATACTAGTGAATGTTTCTCAGCACTTCAGAATGCGCTGTATAAAAGCTAGAGTTTTTTTCATCAGGACCAGCCTCCATTGGCATTGCTCACACGGATTAGATCTGGCTCTGATTATGAGAGCCACTTAGGTAGAGGGCTGTTGGTATTCATTGTATGACTGTGAAAAAATATTTTCATTTTTGAGATTTTGCAGATTAAGAAAAGTTGGTGGTCCCAAACATTTGTACATAATGCATTCCTGAAAATGTGGAGGGACAGATAGACTTCTGGAGCACTGCTGGGCTGGCAGACACCCCGGCCCGACCTTCTTCCTCAGGAGCAGCGGTCAGAAGGTGGTGCGTGCTGCCACGCACTGGCTAAATCACCGTCCCATCTCCAAGGAGATACATGGAAGGCTGGATTTAGCTTTAGAAATCATTATAAAATATGCAAAGTGCGGTATTAAAGTCAAACATGAATATTGAAAATGTACTGTAAAGGTCAGACAGGTTCAAAATCCATTCTTACGCTGTAGTAGTTCTTTATAGTATCTGATTAGCACTTTATCAAGTTCATTCTTCTAATTTATATTTGCACTGTGCTTATTTATCCTTGTTTCTTCCGAAGGAGAAGTTTCAGCTCAGCTACAAAGCTAAACATAATCCACTGTCCTTCCCTTTCCCTGCAGTAGAGTGAAGAAAGCTATTAAATTACAATTTTTTGATATTACAGTCTTTTTTTTTAATGAATTCACCTAATAAAATTATTTTTGTATAATGAGCCATGAGCCAGCACTGTTAAATTTGCTGGAGGATGCACCAGTTTATTACAAATTTTACTGCCAGTGCATTTCCTTCTTCCTTTCTTTCTTTTTTAATTCATTTCTTAAAAAAGAAAAAATACTTGGGATTTTCTACTATATAAAAATCCTGCCACAAACTCATTTGTCTATTAACCTTTCCCCTGGTGTGAACCGAAACTGCTCATGTTCCCCTCTCAGGATGGTATTCCTCTCATTCCTCTGGGGCTTCTTGAGGGAATGCTAGAAAGCAGACTCATGAGGACTAACATCAGCATTCTGAGTATGTCACAGCGAAGCTGCCCTTTGTGGATTTCAGGCAGAATAGGCTCCAGGGTGGTACCCTGTGCGTGTCTCCAGGCACGCCTCCTGTTCTAACTGCCCTTTCTTGGGGATGCCCTGCCTGGCCTAGTTGGCGCTCTCTGCCCAGCACTGTTCTAAGTGCTTGGTGTATATTAACTCATTTAATTCTCATGCCAACCCTACTGAGAGCAGCACTGATACTGTTACCATTTTAAAAGATAAGAAAACGTTGGCACAGGAGGTTCAGAATTGGCTCACACTCACAGCTAGGAGGTGGAGGAGCCAGATGTCTAACCCACAAAGTCTGGTTGGAAAGCTCACACTCTTAAAGTAACCTGTAATCCCTACGGCCTCTCTAATAATCGCCAGCAGTTATCGCACATTAACTACGTGCCAGGCTCTCTTCAGATCCCGACCACAACCCTGCAGGATCGGTAAGGAAATAACACCCACAACAGCTGCCATTTGCGTCTTCGTACTTTATATCTTATCCGACTCGATCTTCTCAGCAGTCTTTCGGAGTAGGTATTTTTATTGCCATTTCACTCCGGGAGAAGGTGCAGAGAAGTTAAGTCAGTAGCCAAACTGAGACACAGATCCAGGTTAATTGGGCTCTGATGCCTGTGCTCTCGGTCATTGTGTCGTCAGGTACTCGCTGAGTCTGCCAAGTCTGACAGTTGTTCTCAGCCGCGCTGCAGTGAGAGCACTGTCAGATCTTTGTCTCTTCAGAGGCTAAGAGCATCTCATCTGTAAGTTGGCTAATCCTTTCTCAGAGAATGGCCTGGCTTTAGAATCCAGGTTGTGTCATCTGCCACCCACTCTGTCACAGCAGTTAACTCACCGTTTGTATCACCTGTTTGCAGTGCTCTTCGTTGGGAATGTTACGCCTGGAGTGCGCTGACCTTCTAGAAGCAGAAGGAGTGGTGCTCCGTGACCCAGCTCTGTTCTCTTTCCTTTGGGTGGTGGATTTCCCTCTCTTCCTCCCCAAGGAGGAAAATCCCAAAGAACTGGAGTCAGCCCACCACCCGTTTACTGCTCCGCACCCCAGTGACGTCCGCCTCCTCTACACTGAGCCCCAAAAGGTACCAAAGCTATATTTCCCCATGAAAAGGAAATGTGCGAGCAAAGTCAAAGAACTTCAGAACAGAAAGCCAGAGACCTTCCCTAACATAAAGGCTCTTTGAATCTTCTAGGTCCGCAGCCAACACTATGACTTGGTTCTAAACGGCAGTGAGATAGGAGGCGGTTCTATCCGAATTCATGATGCAGAGCTGCAGCGTTACATCCTGGCAACAATATTAAAGGTAACGGCATCTTCTCACCTGGCCTTTTTGTCTAACCAGAATGTTTGTCTGTTCTGTTAAAATTGTGTTATGAATGGAAGATTCACTAGATATACAATAATATCCACTTATTTCTCTACCTTTAGTGTAAGACTTTGAAAAGTAAATGATGTAGAATAGATAAAGATTATACTGTATAGCACAGGGAAATATATACAAGATCTTGTGGTAGCTCACAGAGAAAAGAATGTGACAATGAATGTATGTATGTTCATGGATAACTGAAAAATTGTGCTCTACGCTGGAATTTGACACAACATTGTAAAATGACTATAACTAAATAAAAAATGTAAAAAAATTATAATAAAAAAGAAAGAAAAGTAAATGATAATAATAGGTATTTATTCGTGCATATTATATATATGCCAGGCACTGTTTAAGTACCTCATAGGATGGACACATTTAATCCTTACAGTTACTTTTTGCATAAATACCTTTATTCTGCACATTGTAAAGATGAGAAACTCAGGCAGATTAATTTGCCCAAAGATACACAGCAATGAAGTAAGTGGAGCAGGATTTGAATCCAGGCAGGGTGGCTCCCGAGCCCAGGCTCCTAACCGTCTAACCACTACACTGCTCACAAAAAGATGACTGAAAATGTAGATAATGCTAGAGAAAGAGAGGTTTGAGAGGATTTTATATCACTTAGTGTTTGAAGTGGGGGTAGATTTTAAAGATAGTCAGGATTTTCAACAGAAGAGTCTGTACAGATGCAGGCCTGAGAGTCTGCAGTCTGTTGATGATTCTACAGAAGGCTGGGGTAAGCTTCAGGAAGGAAAAGGTCCAAGAGAGTCTGATCCTGAAAGATCATTTTGTGGGATTAATTAACAGGTATGAGGCGGGATGGAAGAACTTCATTTCTGAAAGCAGGACTGGAGAATTCAAAACACCAGACTCTCCCTTTCGCTTTAAGGACATTGTGAACTCCCTTAAACATTCTCCCAAGTCAAAGCCTCCAACCATCAGTGTCCTGGTCTATTTTATTCATTCCTTTCATTGTCAAGCTTCTCAAAATGTCAAGGAAAATACATCATTTCTGCTTTTTCCCTGTACACCACTGGTTCTCAGCCCTGCTGCACATTAGAACAGAATCACCTGGAGAGTGTTAAAAATGAAACACCCACTGCTCCACACCAGGCCAATTAAATTAAAAGCTCTAGGTATAAGGTTTTGGCATTTGTTCCTAAAAGCTCCCCACTTAATTGTGATCTGTAGCCCTCCTTAGGGGAGCATTTTCAGACACAGTCTCAACGTTTCCACATGCATGGCCCCACAGAAGTTACTTGCACAGGTCACCAAATCCAGAGGCCTGGTGGCCCACAAGCTGTCTACCTCCCGTAGCATCTGACACTGTTGCCTTCCTAATAACCATCTCTTTCTGCTTTTCTTCCTGCCTTTCTGAGTCCACATCTCCACGTCCTTACTTGCTCTTACTCATTCTGCATTATCAGCAGAACAATAGCTGCATTTATGAGCATTTCTCTGCATGTTTTAGTGTCTGTGACTTGTCATAGTCTCTTGCTAAACTAAACCTCTTATTTTTTTTGACTAGACTTTATTTTCTGATTAGCGCCTAATTGTATTATGTGCCACTTAGTAGACCCTCAGTGTGCATTTAAATTGAAGTGTCTTTTGAATTTCAGGAAGATGTAGACCTGCTCTCCCATCTGCTCCAGGCTTTGGATTGTGGGGCGCCCCCTCATGGAGGAATTGCCTTAGGTAAATAGCCTGTCCTTTTAGAAGGGGGTGGGTGGGGTGTGTGTGTGTGTATGTGTGTGTGTGTGTGTAGGAGCATAGAGGGTAAGAGACAAGCCCAGTTTCAGTAGAATAAAACTGCAGAGTTGTAGGTGAATATTGCTTGGATCCCTGGAGGCCCACAGACACAGTCATAGGGACGTGGAGAGCACTGCTCCATAGAATTCAGCTTGTGTGGAAGGAGGAATATGCTAGGGCCCTTCTGATGGCCATGGTCACTCACCTTGCTCGTTTTATCAAACAAGGAGGTGTGAGAAGTTCTAGGAAGCCCACCTAGATTGTAGGCCCTCAACAACAGGGACTTCCTTCTGTGTTCTTGGAGTCCCTTGCATAGCACCTAATTTTGTTCAACCTTTGCTAAGCCCTTGTAAGGACTCATTATTTGCTATGAAGATTAATCCCAGTAGCATGTGAATATTAGCACTTTTCTAGAATGGGATAGAACAGAACCTCTCAAACAAATAAAAGTTCCCTAAAAAGGCAGGGAACTGGGCTTAGCTGCACTTTATTAAGGATTTGTATTTAAAAGTTCCCTGCAACCTTTACGGAAAAACTAAGTGACTCCCAGCCTTAGACTACATTCTCATCTGTTACCTTTGTGTTTTACAGGGTTAGACAGGCTGATGTGCCTTATCACCGGAGCACCGAGCATCAGAGACGTCATAGCCTTCCCCAAATCTTTCCGGGGGCACGACCTCATGAGCAACGCCCCAGACTCTATCCCTCCTGAGGAACTGAAGCCCTATCACATCCAGGTCTCCTGGCCAACAGACCCAGAAGCAGAAAAGAGCTCATTGAATCATCCATGCCACCCAGAAAGCTGAGCTTTTGAGTTTTGTCCTCTGTGCTTCCCCAAGGCTAAAATCAGATCCGGAGTTCTGCTACAGATCTGATTTCAGGTCTTTAGATGGAAGGAATCCAGGCAACATTCTTCACCACAGTGAAGAAACAGATAAAAGGTATGGAGGGGAGGGCATAGCTCAGTGGAAGAGCGCTTGCTTAGCATGCACAAGGTCCTGGGTTCAATCCCCGGTACCTCCATTAAAATAAACCTAATTACCACCCCTTCCCCCCAAAACCCAGAGGCACTAGAAGATTGATATATTTGGGTACATAAAAATAATAAAGAAATTTTTTAAAGGTATCCAGTTTTGACTTGATAATATGAATTATTAGGATTATTTTGGGACACTTTTGAAGTTTTTTTACTCAGAGAGATGTGAAAGATGGCTCTCTGTTGGAGTAATATAAGGGCACAGTGTTTTTCTAATCATGTTTTTCATACCCAGATAGTAATGGTTCTCTCAGGACAGAGGTAGTCAAACCACATGTGAAGTGTGGGAACGTTCTGAGCCCTTTAGACTCGTCAGTTGATGGGAGGGGTCAGTTCAACCAGCCTTGTCAAGAAAATCCCACAACGGATACAAGCTAGATAATGACATTCCAACTATCAACACAATCCAGTGAGAAGCAACACGATGTAATGCAAAAAAAATCACTGAAATGAAAGTCACAAAATTTTAATCAGTACTTTACCTTGCGAGTGTATAAAACTCTCTTCGCCGCCCTTCCTGTTTATAGGAAATGTAAGCAGTACTTGCCCTGGCTCCCTCACGGGGCTCTTCTTGCCAGAATCCTAGGAGATAATATATGTGGAAGATAATGTGAGTGAAAATGCTTTGAAAAACTGTAAAGCATTAGACAAATGTAAGATAATGGTATTATCCATCTGTAAACAGATACAGGTATATCTCTGTATTTCATAGTTTAAACAAAACTGACATCTGTGGTAAAAGGCAAACAGTAATTTCATTAATCAGCATTCTGCCTGTATTTCTATTTTAAAAAAGAATCATCAATCCCCGAATAACACTATTCCTCAGGTATAAGTAACTGTAACTATGATTTGATGTTGAACCAACCTCAAATGCAAAAAAAGTACACACTGAAACTCACTGTGATTTTCTTATACATTCTGTTGACACAAATAAAGGCTTATGATTAATCAGTAACTGTATAACAACATTGTAAATCAACTATACTTCAGTTGTTTTAACATCAGAAACAATTATGGGAACAAGGCCTTGATTAATGAAATTGTTCCTTTCTACTTTTTCACTTTTCCCTTGATAGTCTTCTGATTTCTAATTTGTAACCACCAAGTGTAAGTGTTTTATCCTTGTCTGTTTGTCTCAGTGCTTTAAGCAGTGCGACACTATAATCTTTTTCTATTTTAAAATAAAATCAGCTTCACTCCCAGGTCTAACTTGTGACGCTCTGTAGGCTGTGCAGTGTGACGTCCCTCACTGCTGCAGAAAGCTCGTTCACCGTTAGGTGGAGCTCTTCCCTGAAGTTTGTCCTTTAACCCATCTCTCCCCATTTGTGGATGTTCTAGAGCCAAAAAACCCTTGCTGGCAGAGTTCTTATGGTGAGAAAGGTGTCCAGCTCTGCCCACCTTTTGTCAGTGGAGAGAATTTCTAGAGATGCCCTTTGTTAGGTAGGAAAATGCAATTTTACATCCATCTATCCCACATGGGCATCAAATAATTCCTAGATATGATAAATTCACTACTGTTTAGAGCCTAATTCTGACCAAAATATTGTCTTTCTTTATGGAAGTGAGAGTTGAGGATATCCAAAATCCAATGAATATTTTCTAGGCTACAGATACTAGAGGCCCCAGGTTTCCAGCAGTATTACAGTCCCATGTTGGCATCTCAGAGACGTAGTCACTTTGGGCATCACTCAGCTGTTCTTTAGTCATATTGGGGAGGGGACAGGGAACAAACAAAAAAACCCATTCTGAAATCCAGGTTAATGTCACTATTTTAGATCTTGATCACTGAGGTGGTGTGAAATGTTCAGTGAAATATTTTCTAAAAAATTAAGTAACTAGTTACTGATAAAGTTTGAAATAACACAACCAGGGTTTTGGAATACACAAACTAATTGTCAACTGGAAGCCGAGTCTCTGCTTTAGATCCTATCTCCCCAACTTCCTAGGTAACTTAGACTTCTGCTAAGTCTCCAGTTTTAAAAAAAACGTAAGCAACTGCCAGCTGTAACACCGAGTTATTATTGGCTTCAAGAGAGCTCTGCCTTATGAACAATTTTTTCCTGTTGGGAAGCAATGTGTCAGAAACTGAGTCTTGATGGGATTGTCTTACACTCTTGGGCTTTGATTGAATGAAGCAAGGCACCTGTACAGCTGCTCTGCCTTTTCCCAGAATTCCCCTTTGAAGAACCAAAACCAACCTGTGACACTGATTACATTCCTTGCTGCTGATTTTTCGTTCAGCACAATTCATCCTAAAGATGCCACCATAAAGATACTTTTTTCTTGTTTCATGGAAAGGGAGTCAGTTCATGATGTCAGAAATTACCAGGTACAAGACAGTGGACTTCATGGAAAGAACTTGTGTGAGTTGGACATACCTGCATTTAATTCCTGGCTTTACCACTCTCCAGTTACTCAACCTTGGCCCAAAAACTTAACCTCCCTAGGCTCCTGTTTCTTTACCTAGAATAGCAGTTCTCAAACTTCTTGGTCTCAGGACTATTTACACTTTAAAAATTATCGAGGACCCAGAGAGCTCTACATAGCTCTTTTTACTGTAGCAGGGATTATGACTTCTTAAATATTTATTACTTCATTTAAAAATAAGGAACTCATGACATGTTAACACAAATAGTATATTTTTATTTTTAAAATAATTATTTTCCCAAACAAAAATTAATGAGAAGAGTGACATTGTTTCTGCAGATCTTTTTGATTTCTGGTATAATAGAAGATACTGGATTTTCATATCTGCTTCTGCATTCCATCTGTTGTTTTGGTTGAAATATATGAAGAAATCTGGCCTCAAATAAATATGAGGTTACAAAAGCAGGGAGCATTTTAAAACAACAAGTTCATACTGTATAGCACAAGGAACTATATTCAATATGTGGTAGTAACCTATGGTGAAAAAGAATATGAAAACAAATCTATGTTCACATATGACCGAAGCATTGTGCTGTACACCAGAAATTGACACAACATTGTTAACTGACTGTACTTCAATAAAAATGACCAAAAAAAAGCAAAGAACATTTTAATAGCCTTCTCTGATAATTATGGATATTCTTTGATTACATCAAAACTTGACAAGTTTCTTCAAGGTTAGTTGCACCGTGTAATCTGAAATTGTATTGATAAACTTTTCTAAAATCCATTGGCCTATCATTATTTTGAATACAACTTCTATGCATGATTTTGTAACACCATACGTTGATCACTGGAAAATACTGGTTCACCAAGTTACACAAATTTTCCAAGTGTTGACACATTTCATTATACAATACCTAAAAAATCAAATTCAGTAATATCACCACTGATCTCATCAAAGTCATTTAAGTATGGAAAAGCTGTGAGTGCACAGTGACAGTTACAAGCTTTCCAAAGTCCTAATTTTCATTTGAAAGCTTGAATGTTATCACTGGCAACAAATACCATCCTTTTTTTTCCCTCAAATTTGTTTTTGAGAAAATACCTGCCAAATACCCAAATATGAATAATCTTAATGTTTGTCTTTTTTTCAAGTAAAAATGATGTTCTGTGGAAAAAGCAAGTAGTTCAGCTTGTAATTCAAACAATGGCACATGATTTTCTAGAAAAAGAAAATCCTACTTTGGTATGTGGCATGTGCTTCCCATTTGTCACACAAAAAGTATTAAAACAACATGTACTCAAGGTCGAGATTTAATAACAACTGGAATCCCAAAATGATAAACCATGTAATGCTGTATAAAAGGATTTATCAAAATTTGTAATCTTTATGGCTCTCAAAGTTATTTTGACTCAGAGAATGACACATCTCAAAGAGGGAACAAGAATATATAGAAGGAATATACCTATGAATATATATAAATCTTGCTCACATGGTTGCAGCCACTGCAGCCGCCAGAGAGGAGTTGGGGGAGGACAGTGCCGCGAGTGGCTCTCACAACAACAGAGTGGCGATGTCCCCTAGACGGGCCAGTGCCGGGGCGCAGGGCCTGGGGTGGCGACAGGGCAGTCTGCCTTCTGGCCTCCTACCAGTTCCTAGGAAGCCAGTTGGAGGGAAACGGCAGCAGGGGCAGAGGCTCCCCGCATGGCTGCCTCCCCGTCTGCCTGAGCCCAGGAGGCCCGGCAGCCCTGGTGGCTAGGGGTGGGGTGGGGGGGGGGTCTGCTGCCCAAAAATGAGTATTCTTTACACCAGGATAGGGAGACTTCAACCACCAGGAGGGGCACAAAGTTACCGTTGTTGGGCTGGATAATGCAGGAAGAACTATCATCCTTTACCAATTTTCTATGAATAAAGTTGTACATACATGCCCTACAATAGGAAGTAATGTAGAAGAGAGAGTGATTAATAATACACGTTTCCTAACGTGGGATGTTGGAGGCCAAGAATCTTCATTCTTCCTGGAACACTATACTAACACGGTTTGTAACAGTTGTTGTGAACAGTACAGAGAAAGGATCTGTAGCTGAAGAACTCTATAAAATGTTAGCCCATGAGAACCTAAGGAAAGCTGGATTGCTGATTTTTGCTAATGCACAGATGTTAAAGAATGCACAACAGCAGCAGAAATCCCCCAGTTTTTGAAAATAACTTCTAATATATTAAAGATCACTAGTGGCATATTCAGGCATGCTGAGCTCTTACTGACCAGGGATTACGCCAAGGACTTGAATGGATGATGTCATATTTAAGAGCAATTATCTCTACCGACCTCTTCTCATTGACTTTGTATAAACGAAGCTTTTGACTTTACCTGAAAGCTACAAAAATTAATAGTTTAGATATATTTATAATAAATTGATTAAAACTTTTTCTGTAAGAAGAAAAATTAAGACCACTTATTTGAAAACAAAATAAAGTCTCACATTCCAATCTGCTTCTCTTTAGTTCCTTTCAAAGCAAGGTCTTAAAGCTGTTGACATTTTTCTCATAATGAATCCTCAGGACCCCGTGTAGGCTGAGGTAAGTGCAAAGGAAGACATTATCAACTTTAAGAGTCTTATTAACAGTACGATCCTCAATTGAATGTTGTCTTCTTGTTCCATTAATTGAAAATACAAGTCAGCACAGATACTCAGTTTCCAATATTTTAAAATGTAATGTTACTTATGAACGTATAAGTATATACATAAGTATTTTGTGTAAACCTCAAGTTAATGGCTTTATGTTCTAAAAAGCAAGTAACACAAAAATTAACAATATGCATACTTATAACCGTAATGAGTACTGGCGTTAGTACTTACCCCTTGTATTCTCTGTATTGTACTAACCAACCCCCAAATCATTCAGCTGCCCTTTAAAAAAAAAAAAAGCTTGACATTTTGTACCTGTTTGTTGTTAATCACAGCACTTACATAGAAACATGTAATCCAGATGCGTGGATTGCCTATCAAATTCTTGGCTTAGTAGTACACATGGGGAGAACTACACACTGAGCAACTATCAGCTTGTTCCCTTTATTGGACCTTATGCCTCTAAGTTACCGAGCACAGGCACACTTTGGCTTTATTGGGCTTCGCTTTACTGTGCTTCACAGATGGCTTGTCTTGAACAAATTGAAAGTTTTTTGGCAACCTTGAGTCCAGCAATTCTAACCACGCCATTTTTCCAATAGCATTTTCTCATTTCATGTCCCAGTGTCACATTTTGGTAATTCTTAAAATATTTGAAGCTTTTTTATTTCTACTGTATTTGTCCTGGTGATCTGGGATCTGTGACCTTTGATGTTACTATGACTCACTGAAGGCTCAGATGATGGTTAGGGGTTTTAGCAATAAAATATTTTAAAAGTATGTTTAACACAGTATTAAAACCAACTATACTATTTAAAATGTACACTTTAAAAAAGGTACAGTGCTATTGCACACTTAGTATACTTTTATATGCACTGGGAAAGCAATTTGTGACTCACTTTGTGATGTTGGGTTTATCGTGGTCTGCAACTGAAACCACAGTATCTCCTAGGTATACCTATTAAGTGTAAATCCACTAATCATTCTGATTAAAATTACCAAGTGATTTTTTTTTAGCATTAATTGAACACTGCTGTATGAACTGTCTACCCAGAAAAGTAGCACCACATAAATATTATCAAGTAATTCAGCTGGATTCTTAGGTATTTGTCAAACATTAAAGTGAATTTGAGATAAAAAGCAAAGCATATTTTCCAAGCAACAAAGATCATTTGAAATCTTAAGAGTGGGAATATTGAGGGTTTTTGGTCAACTTCTTACATTACATAAATGCATTTGACATATAAAATTCTAATGCTTTTAAGAATTTGGCTCAAAAATTGGTTAACATGCTGTATTGTTACTAATAACTTGGCCCAAAATACCTTTTACATTTGCTTACTTTCCAATTACCTGAAAGTTCAAGTTATTGTAAACAAATCTTAATGTTAAAACACTGTTTTCAGATGGAGGTACTGGGGATTAAACCCAAGACCTCATGCATGCTAAGCCTGTGCCGTTTTGCTGAGGTCTAAGCACATCACCCCTTTATGAATTATATGCTCTAAAAACCTCAAGGCTAATTAATCAATGTTTTATAGAGTATTCAAGAAATGACTCTTAATAGCCTACATTTCATTAAGATTTTGATGGGGAATACCATATACTACAAATGCTGATGAAAAGCTTTCTATAAAATATACCCAATTAGGCATGGGAGATCAGTGTTTATTTGGTATTATATTCAAAATCCAAGTTCCAAAACCCTTGGACGGCCATCTTTACTACTGCAAAGGAACTTAAGTATCCACAAATTTTAGTATCCACAGGGGGTCATGGAACCAACCCCCCCCCCAGATACCAAGGGATGACTAGTATCTTAATATTTGCAACTTGCTTTACAAAAGTAAATCCTAAACATGTAAGTATCAGAAATAAACTGGAAAAAATTAGAAAACTGATTTCACCTAGTTTTTAGAATACTATTTCAAGTGAGAGTTTAATAAATGTTTTAAAATCAAACTTAACGTGCCTACTCTGTAATGCCAAATTAGTTTGATTGGCAGCTGTTTACATTTTAATGTTGCCAGAGCTAATACTAGAAATTTAGGGGTTAACTAGTAACTCACTGGCTCCCTATCAATAAATAAAACTACTTCCCATCACGAAAAATTTTTTCAAAAATCTTTTGTAAAAAAGTTTTCCTAAATGTTAAGGTGGTTTTCACTGAAACCAGTCCATTTCTTTACACCAATTTTGGTACCCACCAATTATTTCCCAGACCGATCATCGCCCTGGTGCTTAGTACAGCAAACAGATTTTCCCATTTCGGCACTAGTTGATGTGGAGAGCTTGTACTTTTCTCTGCAATTCTCTATACTTATTTTAATGTCCCAGTTTTGTAAATTAAGTACCCCTGAAGTCCTATATTCAACATTTTCATTCTTTGAGAACTTTCTTGCACAGTACAAAGATGATTCAAGCTCATCTTTTGCTTCCCAGCCTTAGGTTACAACTCCCGATACTTGGGTTTTCAAGGGTGACAAACTGACCCAGGGATTTCATTCAGCCTTCGAAAACTTCTGCAGAAAATACGCCATCGGTTCTTAATTACGAAAATATCCTATTTTTCCTTCCTTCATTCCATTAAATTGAAATAAGCATGCTTCATCAGATGGTTTATAATTATTTATTAGAATTCAAAGTTGTTTGCTCTTCTATCCCAGGAGCATCCATTCAGCTGCCTGCAAGAACAAAGCAAAGCAACCTTTTTTAGTCCCATTTCTAGGTTTCATTTCTAATGGCATTTGAGATACACAGAACATCAGATCTTTGATTATCATCAAGTAATCAGTGAGAGAGTTCAAGTTGGGGTGAGATCATCATGTATTCTGGAACAAAAGACAACAGTACTAATATTTTCAAGGCTCATTCACCTCTCTCAGCTGGTAAGTTGCATTTGACTGCTGCTGTGAAATGCCCTGAAAAAGAAAGACTATGTTAGATCACAGCATTAAAAAACTTGTGTGATACTTGTTATTAAAGTAACCTCAGAAATCAAAATGGAACGGTTTTATGGGTGATATCATTGTACTCATTTGGCAGAATCATCGCATCACTGGTTACATTCTAACTTATCATATAGACCAAAGACTAACTTACCCTTTAATCTTAGGGTAACAGGTCTGCCTGTTTAAAATGGAAAAAGAAAAAAAGCCTTTAAAATTTACCCTACTTCACTTTCCCATTTTTAATAACCCATGTTAACTTTTTCAAAAAATTTAGGGCAGTGAACCTGTTCTGTACAATGGTGGACCTTTGTCATTGTACATTTGTTCAAACCCAGAGAAGCATGTAACACCATGAGTAAACCCCAATGAACTGACTTAGGGTAAAGTTGTATCAACGTAGGTTCCTAATTTTAAGTCCCACTCCAGTTCTAGATGGTGAGGTGTGTGAAGACGGTCCTGGTATACAGGCAATTTTGCTGTGAATCTAAAACCACTCCGGAAAATGACTATCGATTTAAAATCAGCTAAATAACAAATTGTGGAATAATCTATATATTAATATGTGTGAATACGTAGATTAATATGTAATAAAAATTTACTTCCCCAAAATGTGTTTGTTAACCTATGCTTATCCAAATGACCATATATCCTAACCATGAAATTTACAGAACATTTCCCTAAGAGCCACCATACTTATCCAAATCCCGGAACATTCCTGTGAGACAGTTTCCCTTTTCAAGGGTATGAACAGAATATAGTTGCAGCCAGATACGTCAGATAGGAGCGAAAGACAGTATTTGCTCATCACTGTTACTCTGCTGAACTATGTTATCATCATTGTATCGGCTTTAAACCACATAACACACCAAACAAACTTGAGACTACTGTACCTCTGCTTAAAACTCCTTCTTCCATGTCTTGTAACAACCCATGTCTTCACACCTGCAGAAATTTAATCAAATTTACTAATAGGTAGTTACAGGTAGATTTCAAAAAATTTCCATACACTGTTTCAGTTTTTAAAAAAATCTTCATTCTTTCTCAGAGAGATTCCCATCTGTTTACTTTAAAAAATCATCATTAACAGCATCTTGCCAAGTAACTAGTTATAACTGATAAGATACATACCTTTATACAAAACCTCCCCGAAATCTGCACCTGAAAAATAGTGTTTCTTTAGACATGCTTCACAAGAGGTTAACATTAAAGACTGTTTACTTCAACTGCCCAGTGGCTTGTGCACCACTAGAACACACTTAACACATGTCAACAATTACTAAGACCAGCACATTTCAGAAACACTAAATCTCAGTGCCAAGAGCCAAAGAACTGTTTCCATGTCTTACCCCAAGCAAGCCATCCACAGATAAAATCATATACCCGGTAGCTAGAAGAGAAAGAGACACCTTTTACTAAATTGTTAATGGCAAGCAAGTAAGTTTTTTTTATTAATTTTTGACACAGGGTTCTTCAGTGTTAGACTTGTCTACATGCTCATTTCAGGTCAGACATTTGCTCAACATCATTACAAAAACCCTGTTTAGAGTATGCTCAACATGCATTTGCAAACCAAACACAGGAAGTTAGCTTGATAGTTAAGCATTCTAATTCAGCAGTGTTCTCAGTAAGTTTTGAGCTATGAAATTGTTTTAAACATTAATACTCACCAAAAAAGTTCCAGATATGTCAAAAACTCAAGTCCACCTAAGAAATAAGAATACCTTTATAAATAGCCAAAGATGAATCTTCTCCCCACAAATCTCCCCACAAAAGTGCCTGATATCAGATAGAGCTAATTAAAACTTTCATGTTTAGTCAGTATTTGCTTTATCATCATACAGGCTGCTTTTACAAATCAGAAGTCGTAAGGTAATAGGACAAGGATCTGCCACTTAGCACAGTTTAAACACTCCATGGTAGGGCTGGTTCCTGTGCATTAGAAAGCAACTCTTAAAAGCCATTAGTGACATTTGTCATGCCTGCCCAGTTACCAATATTTAGTTCAGTTAGTTTTACTTACCCCTTCAACTTCCAGCTAATTCTGCTTAGCGCCTACAAAAGAGAAGCTAAATTAGTAGTGGTAGTTTGCTTACATTATTAATAAAAGCTTTACCAAACCAGATACATCAGACAAATGGTCTATCTCTTTCATGTTTCAATCTGTTGAACTATGCAACCATCATAGTATCTGTTTATCCAAATTCCTCCCTAGAAGTTTTCGAAAGGGAGGAAAACCCTACTGTAAGCATCAACAATTTGTAACCCTTTAAAAAAGAACTGTAAAGTGCTGGGTAAAGAGTATAAAAAGGTTTCTCACCTGTTTGCCCATGAATACAGCGCAAAGCCTCTGCTGTAGGACCTGGGAATAAACAGTTTCATGTAAACTTAGGTGCATTCTCAACGGTCTCTCAATCACCATTTTGTGTGCCTCAGTTAGGATAATGGTGGTAATAATTCTCGTCATCCTCACAGTCAAGAGTAGCAAATAAAATGTCATCATTGCGGCACATTCAGTGGACTTTTCAACCCAACTCCCCTTTTTGAGGGTATTTCAGTAACTCACCCCAGTAGCAGCTCTCATCCATTTGGCACGTAACTATAAAACAAAGAATATCCAATGGAACATACTGTGTCACTAAGTTAATCATTAACATCTTACCATCAAGCCTCAGAATAAAATTTTTCAGAAATCCATTCTGCCCACTACTCTTAAACCATCACAGGCTTAACAAAAAGACCTCTAAGCAGACTGCATTCTTCCCACCGCTTTTAGCCGTTTCTTACCTGTTCATCAGAAGCCATCAAAAGCCAAACTGCATTCATGCCTATCATCATTCCTAGGGAAAAATTAGCAACTTTTAAAATTCACTTTGTTCTAAACTAAGTTTAAGCACTAAGTCGTCCTCGCATCCTGTATGCAAATGATTTACACCACCCTTAATCTCCTGAGAGCATTGCACAAAATTAAAGAACCAGTCATACAAATGATGCAGTGCGGAATGCAGCAATTTAAAGAAGCACGTGGACTTCCCCAGTTAGCGCCTTTCCTTAGAGCACCTGGCTGAAGGAAAATGGGGCCGAAGCCATTAACAAAGACCCAGTCGGTGACTCGGCATGCACCGCCATCAGAGCCGTTGGCATTCATCAACAGTCTCAGATGTCCCTACCAACACAGGCTTCATCAGAGGCAGGGCCTACGAGCCGAGGTTTTTTCGCAGTTCGGCCTCCAGCAACGCAAGCGCAAATTAGGCCGCGCCTGCACCCAATGCGCAATCCTCCACCATCCCCATCTTGTGAGTCCTTCAACGGCCTACGACTCCCCTGGAAATACCAGCCAGCTAAAGGTGACTTAGTTACTAAGAGCTGGTAGCCTCGGGCGAAGAACCCATTTAACGGTAAGCCGAAGACATACATACCAGACACCGACTCGCAGCCTGGAAAGACCGAGATGGCGGCCAGACGCTTGTATATAAGGCTCTTTTCCATGACGTCATGACGCACGCTCTCCGCTAACGTCAGCTTCGACTCCGGCACCTCTCCTCCCTCCGTCTCCTCCTCCTCCAGCAGCACCTCCCTCCAGTCCTTTAATCCCGCCCCTTGACCCGCCCCTGGCCCCGCCCACATCGCCGCTGTGGGCGGGGACACGACAGCCCGCGTGACGCAGGGCTCCCGCCCTCCTACCGACTGAGGAGGAAGAGAAGAGAGGGGAGGGGGCGCGAGGGACGGAAAGCGCTGGGGGAGGGGGAAGGGGGGCGGTGTAAGGGTGAGTGATTTCCTTCCGGCACGTCGCCCGCTCCGGGGGAGGGGGTGGGGGGTTTCACTTCCGGGACGGTGTTCCCGGCCCATTCCGGCCCATTTCCACCCCCCGGAGGTAGGTGCTGCTCCTTTGACTGGGCTCGGGCC